TCAGGTGAAAAAGTGGCTGTCTAGAGCTCAGTGAGGAAAACCTCGAGCAGGTGAAGCATCATGGGACCGTCGTCTGGAACCCCAGTTCAGTCGAATTGAAAGGTAAATGAGTGTTTTATCCTACAAGACTCCTGGCAAGCGCTTGAAGTAGCGAGATGCATTTGCAAAGATCGAATGAAATTGAAGGTACCAATATGGCCCCGGTCTCCCGTGTGCAGCTCGAGTCGAACCAAGGCCGAGTGACCGCGCATACGTCATACGACTGACAGATGGCCGATGGACTTGAGCAATGACGGATTGTTGTCCAAGGGGTTACAAGCGCCATATTGGAAGACCTTGACGGAGATGGGGCGGTAAGTCGATAGAGTGAGAGGGAAGGTTGTGGCGAAAAACCAACGTTGGCATCGAGACTTGGCAATGGCCATCGTTTACGACGAAGGATCAGTTAGCTGTTGTTCTTAATGTCACACCTGAGTTAGCGTAATCTTCCTTAACAAACTTCTCCATCAGTTCTGACTTGTAAGCGAACAGTTTCTCTCGCAGACTTTTCGTGGCCGCGTATTCAATGGCGCTTGTGGCACTAAGAGCATCGGATTAACGGATTAAATCGAGGAAAGAATATTTCCTCACTAGAATTGGGTCTTCGCGTATGACTTGGATCCGACGTACTGAACGAAATGAGGTTCGAGTTCGGGACCGATCAGTTTCACGTACGCACCTTTATTGCTGCCAGTTGCGTAGTAATTTGACGCCGAAAACACCGTTAGAACCTCAAGCAAATTTCATACACAGTGAAAGCGAACAGAAACGATTGTCATGTAAGTAATGTCCTCATCCGCGATGCCTCTAATGGTAGCCCTCGTCTTAAGGCGTCCATAAAAGGGGATCTGTTAAATCATATTCGATTTTGACGATAGAAGACGATGAGTACTGAAGCTCGACCGTCAACGAAGGAGCGTTGAAAGCATGTTGATAGGGAACACTGTTGCGGGTGTCTTTAAGCAAACCACGTAATGGCACCAAAAAAGATAAGGTTATTGCTTGCTTCTCAGAAAATAGCAATAGTATCATGAAACGGTGGGGTAGGAATGTATTTTAGCCTGTTCGATATTCCGTGATTTGTTGGAAATGTAGCTCTGCCGGTGAATCATGTATGGGACCCCGCAGAAAACGACGGTTCCCGCTTAGTGCCGACGTATTTCATTATCATACGGCTGACATAACCAGGGGCAGAAATCTACCGCCTAGGAGCAGGTTCGAAAAGCATACCGTTGGTGTTGAGACCGAAAGGAAGACTTGGACGAACGAATGGCAAAGGGGGCGAAGGGTAATATCGTAACAGAAACACAAGACAACAGAATTAAAGATTATGAACAAAGATGGATAGATTTACTGCCATGACAAGAACAGAGGCAAAGTCTCAAGAAGCATTGAGAGAAGATGCAAAACAAGCGAAGACTCACAGGCGTGCGCCGATGATGAGGAGATTACGGAGGTTGGCTCAGCTAAACAAACTGGACAAACTGGTGGAGCATAAACTATGCAGCCAGTCCGAGTATAAGCTCTCGTATGGGCGCAGAACTGCACATTGTAGACGATGACAAAGAGGTCAGGATGCAACATGGACGAACATGGTAGAAACAGATCTGCTTTCAGAAATGTGGAGGCGAGAAGGTTGCTGTTTGAATACGACCTTGTTTAATTGACCTGTTCTGAAACTGACCTACAGTGCTCCCTGGTTTGTAGCAGAGTACGACGGACTGGCTTGATCTTGAAGTATCTAAAATGAAAAATTTACTCTTTTCTCGTTCCCCTGATCGTTGATCTCCTCAGAGAGACGCAGAAGCAGTGGAGAAGTTTAAGCATCCCGGAGTCGTGCTCTCTGGTGATGAAAAGCGGAAGGAACAGATCGTCCGGCAAGTTGGATTAGACAGCGTCGTTGTGCTTGAACCAATCTGAGGCGTTATGACTGAACAGAAGTGAGTTTGAAGACAATGCTCTCGGTGCTTAAGTCGATGTCATCTCCTTGCTCATCTATGGTCATGAGTTACGTACCATAACGGAAAAATTGCGCTCCGAGTTACAAGCGGCGGAAATGGTCGTTGTGGAACGAATCGCTGGCCTCACGATCCTCGACGTAGTCCGGAGTACAGATATTCGAGAGAGCCGTGGTATTCAGCTGCTGTTTCCTTAGATTTAGACGTCAGAGCTGCGATGGCATGGACACGTGTTGTAAAGTCCTCCAGAAAGGAAGAGGAAGCAACCGATACTCTCCAGAATGACCGACAGAAGACCTCGGCCTAGGTGACGGCCACTATGAACTTGTGACAGGTGTACTGAAGGACTCTGCTCTAGACTCCGGGTACCTTCTGCCGATGTTCAAATGCTGGCCAGGAATGGGGAACGCTAGTAGCACTATCTGACGCGTTTGCCTCCGGATCCCGGAAGGAGGATGAATAATGGAATTGAATATAACTGAACCGGTTTGAGTACTGTATGTGCAGTGAAAGCTGTCAATAAAAATAGTACCTGATTTTGTTGGCAGTACTCGTAGCCATCGACAACACACTCGTGAGAGCGAATGAGCAGTTTGAGCTTGTTCTTTTCTAGAAACGATTGTGTGACGTTTGGTCCATAGCAAACGCCTGCTCCTCTGGAAACATTTGATGCGATTCCGTTTTTGGTCTGTGGATCGCTCCAGAACAGGTCCGTCAATAACTTCATCTCGTTCTGAACGGTTCTTGGCGACGACTGCCATTCGTACGGCGAGATCAAGAACGACTTGTACTAAAGTGGCCCTCGAGGTCGATGAGTAATCGCTGCCGGAACCTACCTTGGATCTGTCGATCAGACTGATCGCTTCGAGGTCAGTGTTTTCGGAGATCCCTCCGTGAACGATGAAAACGCTTTTGTTCACGATAGTGGCCACAGGCAGCCAAGAAAACGCCGAATAAAACGCATCCAGTACCATCTTTCCATTGCGCTGAAACTGTCGTTTATTAATTAACTCAGTCAGGCTCAATGACTAAGGCAAGACAACATCATAACAAAAATGTACTCTTTAAATTATATCATAATGATATGGCATTTCAGCGAACCAACAGTAACATCACAAAATAAAACATGAGTTAGGCAGAAAGACTCGTTGACAACATATGGGATTATCAATAATATCAGGTCTTTGAGCTGATCAGTGACCTCCTTTTGGAACGGGACAAGTTTGAAAGTCCTTGATTCAATATTTTGGGCAACGGAATTTTGCTGGTGGAACTTTCAAAATTGAGGTCCCGCATAGTGACCTTGTAAAACAAACTTTCGAACTGACGTACTTCTCATTGCTTCTGCTACTGAGTTCAGTTATACACATTTGTGATCCTTCTTTCTCGATTCGAATTATTCACCTATTTGATATTTTAATTAGCTCCTTACTTATTTTGATGGATTTGCCTTACTTTATTGCAAAAACAATTAATTGGGGATGTCATCGTCGATAAACGACCAACTTTCACTCCAAGACAAAGGCTAAGGCTTAATGTTAAGTTTAATTAGCCATAGGCAAAACGCTTAGAGTTAAGCTTCATCTTACGTTAAACTTAGGTTTAGACTAATCATTAGGCTGAGGCTAAACAAAAGGCTTAGCTCTAGGCGTAGGCAAACGCGATGACCTGCGCCTACACTTGGGCTTAAGTTTATATTTAAGTTCGGGCTTATGTTAAGCTGAGACTAAAGCTGATAATCTTAGGCTTTGGATGAGCTTTAATGATTGATTTAGGTTAAAGTGTAGACTTACGCTTGGTTTGAGGCTCCGGTTTAGTGTAGGGCTTACTCTTTGACATAATTTAATGACCATCCCGTCCTCAGTGACGGCATTTAGCAACTATCTAAGTTTATTAATAAAGTTCAGAGCAGAGAATAATAACATATGGCAAAGTAAACTGTTGAGTTTGAAATGTTTGTTCATGTTATTGAAACATTAGTACAACAGATGAGGTTTTGTTGAGGTCGGTTGCAAATGATGAATGTGAAAGCTTAGCCAGTTTTGCAGCTGAGTGCAAATGCGTCGAAATTTTAAGATGTGATCCCACAGACTGTTGTTCTGTACCTGTTTAAACAATGACAAAGATATCATGTCATGACATCAGATCAAGATATACCGTGCAAGAACTGACAATTAACACTGGTTTGTCATTAACACAATCGCAAAGGGCGGTATTCAGGAAAATCTTCGAACTACGCTGAATCGAGACGTGGACAAAGAGGCTATTTTGAGGCTGTGTAATAACATAAAATAGTGATGGCGACAGATATAACGACTCTATGACAATCATGACGACGAATCTGATGGCAATCATGGCTACAACAATGGATGATAACGAGCCAATTTTATTGACTTCAGATTATGCTCCGCCATGGCCGGTCCCAAGCCCGGATGAGAAAGGAGGAGGGTTGGAGACCGTGGCAAGTCTCCATAA